CCATGATTTTGATTCGAATTAAATTAATTGTTTTGAAAGCGTATTAAAAATTCATTACTCGTCTGACTTAGTCGATTTGTTGTTGTTATTTATATTACGTTGCAGCGTCAGCTGCCCTTTGACTGCCACTGTCTCTTGCGCTCTCCCACTCACGCGCTCGCCCGCTCTCGCTCTCCTTGTGCAGTTGCCATTTCCGTTGCTATCTATTTGTCGCTGGGGCTCTCTACACTCGCTCTCACTCACTCTGCACTCCAGGGGTGTATTGAGCCCGCCGCTCTGCTTGTATTCCTTTCACACACACACATTGAGACACACATGCATAATATATGCACATATTTGTGTTGGTATTTTAATATTATTCCTTAAATGCGATCGCTTAGCACGCTCTGCCTGCTGCCCTCTCTTCTAATCCCGTTTTACGTCCATTCCCATGCGTTTCTTATATATTTATATATGCACGTACATATATATTTATTTATACTTTTTCAAATTTACTCATAGCTTACATTATTAGTATGCTACGCCTCAGATGCGACAGCTGCTGATAAGAGGGCCATAATCACAGTGCGCCCGTTTTGTTTCTCTTTGTTTATTTCTTTTTCAATGCGCTCTCCGCCGGTCGTCAACTGGATAATGAGTTTAATCCGCGATTCTGACGTTTCAAAATGTGGGCTTAATAGTCGATCCATTGCTAGTCAAGTGGCTTCTCGAGAGATGTGATAAGCATATATGTATGTATGTACATGTGTAATATGTTTTCTTCTTTGGTGTTTTCTTTTACACTTCAGAGCTGTTTATGATTATATGAGCATTATCATCATTGGCAAATTGTTGTTGAGTACAGTTAAGGATGCTCTTATCAAATAAATCATATACACATTAACCCATATCTCTTATCTTAAATTCAACTCAAAAAGTTGTAAATCTTTATAGCATTATTTGTTGTAGTTTACGTTCATGAAGTCTAGAATTTGGATATCGCGCAAGTCTATTAACAAACAAACATTATATAAATTCAAAAACCAAAGAAACGTTTAAACCTCATTATTTTTTGCTCATAAACGATCTAAGATAAGTTTCCAAAGCCTTTCCCCTATATTATTATTAGTATATGACTACATTTAAATTTCATTTATGCTAGATTTTATTTTATTCAATTTTTTTATTTTATTTTTTTTTATTTCCTTTTATCGTATTTTACATTCTCATCAGACACATTGCCAATGTATGAACTTAACTCAATTTGCAACTACATATTGAGGCAAATGTTTGAAAAATCAATAGCTGAACTGATAACAATACTTGCGATAAGGTCATGTCGATATATTTTATCTTAGAGAAATGTATTCATAATTACTGATGTGGAGTGCTTCGAAATGAGTCACAAACGATTTCCATTTTAGAATAAAGTAAATGTTTATGTTTCATATATAGAAGCTATCTGTCATATCTTATTAGCTTTGCCGCATACCTTTTCAATTTTCCTCGAAACCAATAAAAAAACAAAATAATAATAATTGAAGAACTGGTATCTTAACTTTAACAATCTTAACTTTTACAACTCACTTTTAGTGTCTAATGACTAAATAGATAGTTGACTTACACAAGACACTTTATGGGAAGGTTAGGTCTTACAGCACTTGATAAGAATGTCTACGACGATTGTCTACTATTTTATAAGCTTTGCTTTTGAAGCGAATGTCTGAAAAAGCTACATAAAAGATAAACTAACAAAGAAAAAAGAAAAAAAAAACATTTATATATATAAATATTTGTATATAATAAAAGCAATCGTTCTTTATGATAACAGTTTCCATGGTCAGTTCCTCTAGGGCCTGATAAACAGTTTCAGCTGTATGAGTTGATACATTAGCTAAATATTCCACAAACACATATATATGTATATATGTACATACATACATACATATACATAGTTTGTCACGTTTATCTGACAACGCGACAATTGAAAGTAAGGGAAAACAAAATAAAGAACTACAATTTAATTAAATTCTCTCTTTTTTTTTTTGTTTTTATTTACTCTATTCGGAATCGCAAAGCGTGGCCGATTTTATTGGTTAACCGTCAAGCTATATATACAAAAGAATTGAACAATTGGTTTGCTGTCAGTGCGCTCGTGCTTACAAATATATGTTTGTACATACATTTTTCCAGCTATATTCACTGTGAATGAACTGTCACGGTATTGTGCATAGGCCAGCGCATATATTTGTGTATCTGAGATAATCATTTTATTACGTTGGAGCAACATTTTTCATATATCTATTACGCTTTGAATAATTACTATTTTAAGCACTTAATAGTTTGCTAGGGAAAATTGAATATTATGATGAAAAAGAAACGAAATTACTTTTATTCGAGACTGCTCGACTAATGAATGCCCTGGACACCTTTGAAGAACTACGCTTCTTTAACACATGCGCACACACATATTAATACATATATGTATGTGCTCTGATAATTGCGCTGTTGACGTAACGCCTGCGATTGCAATGTGAGAAGAATATATCTATATACTTTATGGGATTTGCGTGCGAGTGTGTGAGTGAGGATTAAAGACATAAATAACAAATCTCAGTACTTTTTTTTTTTTTTTTTTTTTAACATAACATATAATTTATTCGATACTTTTTATAGTATTGGATAATTTAATTAATATTACATGTTAATTATATATAACTTATCGTAAAGTTTTATTTATTATAACATAATTTGTTTAAAAATACCACAGTAGTCTTAAAAAAATGATTGGAAATTAAATTTGTATATTATTTGAATATAGTTTGGCTTAAAATAAAATAAAACAATTAAAAAAAATAAATAAACTATTTCTAAACAACCATGTCAAATATCACTGTTAAATTACGTAATTGAATACAATTCATGACAAAATTATAATTGTCGATAGCACAATTTGTAAAATAGATTAGAGGCACGTTGCGAAATGAGTTCATTTACTTGAATATTCCAGGAATTGATAAAAATTGTTTCAGTTTGTCGGATTTATTTGTTTGGTGTGCACACAGTTTTTTTTTTTTATGGCTTTACCATATGCAAAGTGACTCGGTGATAGTCAATTTAAGTAATTTACGTTTAATTGCATTGCTCGGCGAATGCAAAACTGTTTCAGTAAATTTCAGTGATTGCCGTGACACGCATTTCGAGCACACTGGAAACAGTGAAAACTGTGGAAGCGCAAGGTTTCCCGACTCATTTCATGCTCACATTTAATTAATTTGCAATTACAATTGCAATTTGAAGCGTTCTGAACTAACTGCCCATCATCAATTGAGGCAACAACAATTGCAATCAGCACCCGCCCACACAATGCATTTGAACCCGTTTGACATTGCGAGCTATCCAGCCCATTCATTCAATTCACTCTGTCAGGCTGTCACACACAATTCTCTCGCTCTACTCAACCTCTCTCGCATCGGGTTCAGTTAGAGTTTCATTTGTTGTAGTTTTGTTCAGCCTATCATCATCATCCATAGAGTCCTCATTGCTGTTCGGGACTTCCTCCTGCGGCGTGGGCATGAACTCACCCACTTTTAGTTTGGCGGGCAAGCGCTGCGCTCTGATCACCCCAAAGGGATTCAGATGATAGATTAAATAGTCCATCACATACATTAAATTGGGCGGAACGTAGTGAAAAGAAATCGCATTATCCGAACAGCAGTCGAGGCCCTTTATTAAAATATTAGCATAAATATTAGCCCATTTTCATTCATTCATGAATTCATGCATTTTGCCACTCACTTCATCCGTCTTGTAGTAGAGATATTTCCAGTACCAAAAATTTGGATCCTTGGGGGGTATCAATATTTGCTCCGGTTCAAAGGGAAACATGCGACCTCGCCCATTCACATCACGAGAATCGCCAGCTGTCACATTCAGATTCTCCATGCATTTGCCAATCTCGATATCCTCGTTGATAACGGTGCCAGGTAGACACATCTTGGGATCGGGTATGCCGTCGACCACAAACCTTCGCAGTGCCTCCTTGCTGAGCACATAGCCAGCACCGCCCGACATATATCCCTGCTTAACGAAGGGCTTGAACTTGCAGCCAAAGTGCACGGGCGTCTCTGGACTATAGGGATATAGCATATATCGCAGATTCTCAACGACTGCATAGGT